ACTATCCGATTAGACCACAAAAAAAAGAATAATAAAAAAAAAAAAAGATTTTTTTTTTTTTTTATGAGATCCATTTGTGGCGGACGATATTGAATTGTGACGGCCCGCCACAAATAAATCAATGTATGGGAAACACTGTGGTCCATATAAAATCGAATGAAAATGGGTCAGTTTTTTATTTTATGTTTTGTGTGTTGAATGTTGAATGTATGCTTTAATTGTGTTTTCTTTCGAATCTGCTATTCCTTACACATAATTAAAGCACTTTATGTTTTACAAGATGAAGACCATATTATAATCTCTGCAACAAACGAATATAGTGATTGTTCTATATTTTGTAATCATTTGGTAATCACAAAAGCATACACCTTCATTAAACAATGCACAAACACGTGCACACATGAACGCAAATCCAACTGAAAGCAAACATAAACACAGCTAAGATTTATTTTGATCAGATTTTTTTCTAATTTCTCCACCCTTTTTACCCCAGGTTGAATTTTTCTACATGTAGAAGCTGTATAACCAAGATTTAAAATACAACATTTGGGACTTTAGATGGGGAAATTAAAACATGTAAACCGTCTTATTTTTTAATGGGAGGAACAGGAAACAGGTTTTTTTGGTTATTGGGAAAATGCTGGTAAAAGGTTTTTCCACATTGGACTTCCAAGATTTCCCACCAGCATAAATGGGGGATTGAACCACTATATGGGGGATATCGAGGACCTTTTGAACATCCTTAAAAGTAAATTAGCATATTATATTGCACACATCCTGCTCCTCTGTTCTGTGGCAGGCTGTATAAAAGACCTGATTAGCATTCCAAAGTCAATTTGAGTTATATAGCCCAAATTTACAATTTTGCCTCAAGGGGCTTTACAATCGATCTAGCATACAACACCTTCTTTCCTCAGAGCCTTGGGTCTTCAAACAACTCTCCAAAAAGCCTTTTAAGGAGAAACAAAATAAAGAACTTCCAGGTAGAGAAAGGGAAACCTCTTTTAGGATATGAAATAAATTCTGGGATGGAGATGGTTTTAATACAAGAGACCATCATGAGCATTGATGAAATCAGGTGTGGAGACTTCGTTTGATGGTATTAAAACAATTGCTTTAAGCACAAAGTAATCCTATCTTATCTATCTTTGCTAAAGAAACAAATCATTACCAGTAAGGCTTTTTGACTGTGATCTGATGTTAGCAAAACAACAAGCGTCAGCGTTGAGGGTTTTGTGGGAGCTGCAGCTTTCAGTAATTGGCCAATAAGCAACAGTAGAGGGATACAATCGTTAGATATTACTCTTCATGTAATCGGCAATATTGGCACAGCTTCCTTTGATTAGCTGCAGATCTCTGTTCTGAAGATATTTTAGGTCACCAGAATCCCTGCCTCACCCCCATCAATCTGCCTGTCCCCATCAGCCCGGTGTCCGTCATCTCCACTTTCCTCCTCCACTCTGGAGCCCAGCTGCATTCCTGGCTTTTGTGTGTGCCGTCCCCTTGGAATTTAGGAGATGGCAATGTGGTGAGGGGGGGTTGGGTTAGGATGGGACTCACGGGGGAGAACATTAAGTGACATAGCGGTGCAGAGACTGAAGTATAGGACAGCAGAAAGAAAAAGAAAAGGACTGAAGAAGAGCTTAAGGCAGAAAGGAGGAGGAAGTTGGAAGAAGTGTGTGTGTGTGTGTGTGTGTGTGTGTGTGTGTGTGTGTGTGTGTGTTAATTGTTGTCTGTAGGGTGTTTTTATCTGGATTCTTTTTTGAAAGTTTGTGAAATTATTAAGGTGTTTTCGTGTTTCCGCTTTAGGCTGGTTTGCACAAATTGGAGCTAAACCCGTTCTGGAAAGATGGAGGAACTGGTCTGCCCCCAGCGGAGAAGGCTGCAACAAAGAAAGGTAAAACTACTACACTAATATATAGTATTGTTGCGTTTGCCTCATTGAGTTATAAGGGTCTCAGACCAGAGTTACTTCACTTATCCCTTCTAGTGAAAAACTGTCGATTCTGAAGTCCTCCTCCCAGGGTTAGCTGAGGAGATGAGGCATTGGCCTTAAAACTTTTCATACACTATTCTCCGCAGACACACACACACACACACACACACACACACACACACACACACACACACACACACACACACACACACACACACACACACACACACACACACAGGTATGTTGCATGAGCTACAGACAGGTGTTTGTTTATGTTTGTAGGTATTTGTGTGTTTTTAACATTGGTTACACTTTGTTTTGCTTTTAACAAACATTTGCTGGTTAATGATCAGGTGACATGTGGTTGGATTAGTTTGGAAAAGGGGACAGTGTGCAGCCTGAAGTTGTGAAACAAGAGCCAAACTATTCAAAAGCCACGTTTCTGTTTAATGACAGAGAGGCAGAAGCCCATGTATCACGAGTTGTTACTGCTATCCTGTCCTCCTGGCAGATGGGAAAGGTTTTATTTGTGTATAGTATCTTGACATTAGAAAGCTCGATTGGTTGTTTGTTGATTTCTTTAACAGTTTATCGTAGGAAGTGCAGATGATTAAGCTCTGATAACTCTCTAAAGCCAATACTCAGCTCTGACCTTGAGCTGAGGCTATGGGCAAAAGATTTGTCCAGTTTTATCTCTGGGAAGGTATACAGAGTGTTGTAGGACATTTCTTTCCATGGATTCAAATAATACATTTCTCTTTTCTTTCTTTAAAACCCTCCTTTCTCCTCACCTTCCTTTTTCCTCACTTACTCATCTCTGGTTCTTATTCATCAGCACACAATGACATTCTTTAGGGATTCTTCTTCTCTATATTATTTTCCAGCTTCTCACAACAAGCAACACTAACATATGTTATTCTAACTTTTTAATTAAAAGGTTTAAACATACCACTTTGTTGATTTGATTTCAATGTTTCTATTGTTTGAAACTATAACTGACTTGTTGTGTATTTTAGTTTGTTCATGTTTGTGACAGTTCTCTCGTCTCGTTCCCAGGAAACACAGTGGTGAATGATGCCGGCCTGGGCTGGCTGAGGAAGAGCTTCCAAAGGATGAAGGAGCAGGCAGAGAGGCAGCAGCGCAGCCTCAATGAAATTGTGGCCGAGAGATACGGAGTAAGAGCTGATCAATATTCACTTTGCAATCAGAAACTATGAGTAAATATGCTTGTCAGTGACCTTTGTTTCCATGACTAAGATGAGGTGCCAGCAACGTCACTAAACACTAACTGTGATGTGATGATCTCAACATGCAATATCAATGACAAAAAAGACGTGACTGAATGTTCTTAAAAAATTAGAAACATGGAATGTGTTTGTAGATACCTTGTTTCATTATGAATCTCTTTGCTGTCTGACGTAATGGGGCACACACTGTCCTTTGTTAAATTACATTTAGCTGTGTCAGCATTTTTCCTCCATTTGACAGCATAGAAACTGTCACAGTCAGAACATTGTGTGTGTGTGTGTGTGTGTGTGTGTGTGTGTGTGTGTGTGTGTGTGTGGGTGTGTGGGTGTGGCCTAGCATTACTATACTTGTGGGGACCTAAATCTGTTTACACAGTCACCTGTGGGGACACAGGTTTCATGACTTACATAGCATTCGGCAGCGCAAACCTACTTTGCAGTATTTGTTTACCTGTTACATTAGAGTAGCAAATTAATAATTTTCAATTTTCTTGTAAATACTGTCTGATCATTCTACAGAAAACGCAACGAACCTTTTTTGAGTACTCCACGGACGAGCACCGACCGAAATCGAAGACTGTTTTATGTTTAATTAACATGGTGTGTGTGTGTGTGTGTCGTCGGTACATATGGTAGCTGAAGTCCCCTTATGGTACTGAATGTTACGAAAGGACCTCTGAGATAGGATGTGGAAGGCTATTGGTTGTGTACGGATTTGGGATTGGGAATTGGAAATGGAATTGGATTATGATTGATTGGTTTCAGAACGTGGGATGTTTAATTAGCTAAGGGTCGAGTACCCCTGGAGGTTAAACAGGGGTATTCCCTTCGG